ACAAGCATGTATTAGTAAATAAGAACTTAGGATCAGAATTTATAAACTCCACGGTAGAGAAGAAAAAAGGAGTAGTAACATATGTCAATGGAAAATGGGAACCCAAATTGATATACAAAGATGAAGATGGGAGGATACTGGGGGTCCAAATCAGCTTCCAGGGAGAAAAGATTAACGTGGTAAACATCTATGCCCCAAACTCAAACAGAGCAGAGTTCTTCAGAAAACTAGAACAAGTGTTGCTAGAACTTGAAAATAACAAAACGGTGCTAGTGGGAGATTTTAATGCCGTCCCGATATTGGAAATGGACAGACAAACGGAAAAGGGAAAACATAAACAAGGGAAGTTACCGAAATCATTCCAAGATTTAGAAGAAAATATGGACTTAATAGACGTATGGAGATACAAGCACCCAACTGGAAAACAGTTCACTTTCTTTTCCAAAGTACACAAAAGCTGGGGCAGAATAGACCAAATATGGATCTCGAGGGTTCTTTCTTTAAGAACCACAAAATGCGAGATACAACCGAGAACCTTTTCTGACCACAACTCGCTAACACTAGAAATAAAAGGGGCAACCCAGGGAGGCTTCAGATGGAGACTGAATGAATGGTTATTAGATGATGATGAGGTCATCGAGAAAGCCAAAGCCACCTTAAAGGAGTATTTTGACCTTAACCTTAACACTGGAACAAACATAGAAGTGGTGTGGGACGCCAGCAAAGCGGTCCTAAGAGGCCTTTTCATCCAGCAAAACAATTACAAGAAAAAAATAAGACAGCAAAAGAAGGAAGAAATTCTGAAACAGCTAAAGGAGAACGAGAAAAAACTAATAGTAAATCCAAAAGATGAACAAAGTCTACAAACAATAAAATTATTACAAACACAATATTCAATGTTAACGAATCAAGAGATTGAAGGTAAAATTAAGATGATGAGGCAAAGATATTTCGAGTCAGCGAACAAAACCGGAAAATTTTTAGCGTGGCAACTAAGGAAAAAACAAAAACAGAATGTGATAAACAAGATAATGGTAGGGGAAGAACTGATAGTGGATCCAAAAAGAATACAAAAAAACTTCCTCAATTTCTACGAGCAGTTATATAAGAAAGGAGAAGAAGATCCAATCCAAATAGAACGGTATCTAGAGAACTGTAAAGGGAAGACAATTACAGAAGAAGAAAGACACCAACTAAATAGACCCATAAATATGGAGGAGATCCAAAATGCGATGAAAAAAATGAAATTGGGGAAGGCACCAGGGCCGGATGGCTTATCGGCAAAATATTACAAAGTTTTGGGGAATCAACTGTCAACCGCGCTATGCGACACTATGAACAACATTCTAAGAGGAGGGAAAATACCTGAATCTTGGAGAGAAGCCTTTATAACATTAATTCCCAAACCAGACACAGACAAATTGAACATCAAGAACTACAGGCCAATATCCCTGCTAAATAACGATTACAAAATTTACGCTGACATTATGGCAAGCAGACTGAAAAAGTGCCTAACAAATATAATTCATAAGGACCAAGCGGGGTTTCTACCTAACAGATTTCTGAAAGATAACGTGAGGCACGTCATCGATATAATAGAATACTTGGAGATTAAAAATGAGATACCTGCAGCTTTAATCTTTATAGACGCAGAAAAGGCGTTCGATAACGTCTCTTGGTCGTTTCTATTAAAAACCATGGAAAGGGCAGGGATAGAGGGCGAATTCCTGAAAGGAATACAGGCGATATATTCAAACCAATCTGCCAAGTTGGTCATAAATAACAACCTTACAAGTAGATTTAAAATCGAGAAAGGAACGAGACAGGGGTGCCCTCTCTCCCCACTCTTATTCATAATGGTTCTGGAAATCCTGGCGAATAAGATAAGATCAAAGCCAGAGATACAAGGGATCAAAATAGGCTCAAAAGAATACAAACTAAAAGCCTACGCGGATGACTTGATACTATCATTGGGAGAACCGCAAGAAAGCATCAACAAAGCGCTGGAGACAGTAGAGGAATATGGGAAATTTTCAGGTTTTAAATTAAACAAAGCAAAAACAAAGATGCTGACAAAAAATTTGGACAATGATGAAAAGGAGAAATTAGAGAGGGAATCTGGAATTAAAGTGGTTAAAAAAGTAAAATATCTAGGAATTTGGCTCACATCGAAAAATATAAATCTAATTGAAGACAATTATTCAGCAACATGGAATAAAGTTAAAAAAGATCTGGACGTTTGGAGCAGAGTTAAACTCTCATGGCTGGGCAGGATGGAAGCTATAAAAATGAACATATTACCCAAGATGCTGTTCTTATTTCAAAACATTCCAGTTATTAGAGGATCCAAAATATTTAAAGATTGGCAAAAAACTCTCTCGAGATTCATATGGCAGGGCAGAAGGCCTAGGATTAGATTTAAATTGCTTACAGATAGAAAGGAGAGAGGAGGACTTGCAGTTCCCAACCTAAAACTCTACTATGAAGCAGCTTGCTTGTGTTGGGTCAAAGATTGGATAACCCTGGAGAATAATGACCTATTGGACCTAGAAGGAGCAGATAATAGGTACGGCTGGCATGCCTACCTCTGGTCAAACAAAGGGAAGGTACACAAAGGTTTCGCGAACCACATCATCAGAGGCCCTCTATATGAAGTTTGGGGAAAAAACAAAAAACTGTTAGAGTGGAAAACACCTTGGTGGCTGTCTCCTACAGATATCTTATTAATCAAGAAGATAAATCTGGAAGAACAAAAACTGACATATGAAGATTTATTGATAAGATCTCAAGATAGCTGGAAATTAAGACCATATGAGGAGCTGAAGGAGAAGCTGAAGGGCTGGCTACAATACCATCAGATTAATGCATTATGGACGGAAGATAAAAAATTAGGAATGAATGAAAAAAATCCAAATTTCAAATCGAAATAATTGAAAGTAAATCCAAGTTATTATCCAAAATGTATAACATTCTATTAGAATGGGACACAAAGGATGAAGAAATTAAAGAAGTCATGGTTAAATGGGCAATAGACCTGGGGCATAACATTGAATACGAAAAATGGTCAAAACTTTGGAATGAGGGAATAAAATTCACGGCAAGCGCTGCAATTAGAGAGAATTTAGAGAAAATGGTATACAGATGGTACTTAACACCGGAAAAACTAAACAGGATGTACAAGACCGGTAATAAGGAGTGTTGGAGATGCAAAATAAAAGAAGGCAATTTTATACACATGTGGTGGACATGTGAGGAAACAAAAAAATTCTGGAACCAGATATATGATGAATTAAAAAAAATACTCAGATACACATTCCCTAAAAAACCTGAGGCCTTCCTGTTGGGGATGGTGGGAAAAGAAATACGGGATAAAGATAAAACCTTATTTCAATATTCAACAGCAGCGGCCAGAATGTTAATCGCCCAAAATTGGAAAAACACAAACTTACCAACAGTAAAGGATTGGCAATCAAAATTATATGGCTTCATTGAATTGGCAAAGATGACACAAAGAATTAGAAATCAAAAAAATGCAAAGTTAAATGAGGAATGGATTAAATTTTCAGTTTATTTGGAAGGCAATTTTAGAAACTTACCAACTATAGCAGGTTTACTATAAAACTTTCGATGCGTAAACTAAAAACTAACACCAGCTGTAAAATAAAATGTATAAAAATGAAAACCCGAAACCAGTAGGGAAGGAAGTAGATGTTGAATGTTAAGTGTTGTATGTAAACTTTCTTGTGCTTTTTTGTATTTTTTTGTGTCTTTTGTTTTCGTTATCTCTCTATGCTCTTTTTTTCAGTATTTTTTGTACCTTCTTTTTTTCTTTTTTGTAAATTTTTTCTTTGTATCTATTTTTGTTGGTGTAATGACAAAGGAAACTTAATAAAAAGAATTAAAAAAAAAAAAAAAGAGATGCCAGGGACTGAACCTGGGAGTTTCTCCAATCCAAAGAAGATGCTCTGTTGCCAGTCAGTGTAAACAACACTGAGCTAGAGGGACAAATGGTCTGATTTACTATAAGACAGCTTCCTTTGTTCTGAATTTACCAGAGTACAAAAGCATTTTAAAGGTAAAGGTAAAGGGACCCCTGACCATTAGGTCCAGTCGTGGCCGACTCTGGGGTTGCGGCGCTCATCTCGCTTTATTGGCCGAGGGAGCCGGCATACAGCTTCTGGGTCATGTGGCCAGCATGACTAAGCCCCTTCTGGCAAACCAGAGCAGCGCATGGAAACGCGGTTTACCTTCCCGCTGGAGCGGTACCTATTTATCTACTTGCACTTTGACATGCTTTCGGACTGCTAGGTTGACAGGAGCAGGGACCGAGCAACGGGAGCTCACCCCGTCACGGGAATTCGAACCGCCGACCTTCTGATCGGCAAGTCCTAGGCTCTGTGGTTTAACCCACAGTGCCACCCGCGTCCCTTACAAAAGCATTTTACTAGTCTGCTAAAAGGCGAGTAGCCTGCATTTCTACGCTCACTGCAGAGGAGGGTCTTCAGTAAGCTAAAAAAAAAAAAGGATTCTATGAAGCAGGTGGGAAGAACGATGCAAAGTTCTGTTGCTTCTCTGCCAGCCCACTCACCCACCTGCATAGAATTCCTTGTCACCTGCAGCCACCAGGCAAGCTGTTAAACACAAGGCTGGGCTAGAAGCACAAAGCAACATACTGAGTCAGACCATTGGTCCATGTAGCTCAGCAGTCTACACTGATTGGCAGTAGCTTTCCAAGGTTTCAGACAGGGGATAATTCCCAGGCCTGCCTGGAGATGCTGGGAATAGAACCTGGCACCTTCTGCATGCAAAGCAGATGCTCTACCACTGAGCTACAACCCTTCCCCAGGTTGTACTTGATCCTTCAAGCAGTATGGTCCTGCCTCTCTCACCAAGTTCACATGCATCACCAAGACCACCACCACTCTCATTCTGTCTGCAGCCACCTTAAGACAGCTGCTTAGAACTCTCATATTTCTACCACCTTCCTGACAACAACTCACCGGGTCATTCTCGCTGGTGCGGAAGATTGCTCTGGGCTTTTCTGGTGCAAAGTGGGGATCCTGGATAGCAGCAGTGCTTTGCCAGTTCCTGGGACTGGCTTGTAAAAAACAGTCATGTTCCAGCTAGGGAAAGAAAGAGCACCGTATATATGGCAAAACATTGTAGTCTCCTCTGGCAGAGGATGACAGCCTCCAAGAGAGTTGCTTCTTAATCTGAAGAGTATTTGAGGCCACTTTTGGTGTGGCGGGATCTGCTGGGCCTGTCTTTTATGTGTATAGATGTGTGCGGGTTTTCTTAGGTTCTGATTTATTTCTTGTTTAAGCATCTATCAGCTGACTGGTGGTGACAGCAAGCGGTGCACAGATTGGGTGCGCTCAGGAGTTCCTGAATGGAACTTTAGAACGCACTCCTGATTCTTTCCTTTGAAGTTGGGTCACCTGATTTGAGGGGATTAACAACCAGGCATGTCTGCCCACTGGCCAAAATGGCCTGGGGGTAGGACAGCTCAACATTATATACAGATGGTATATAAATATAAATGGTATAGCAACCTCAGCTAAGAATCACCAAATACAAGCCAGGAAGTCATGTCACACATGGGAGGAGAAGTAGCCCTTGCCCAAGATCCACCGCCAGCAAAGGCTGAGAGTCTGGACAGCTTTCCAAAGGCAACCCCCACACCTAAGCAGCCATAGGGTGAAACTGAGGCTGCCAAAGCCCATAAGGTGGAGCTGTTTCCACAGAATCTCCATTCTTCTATTAACTATTTGAATTATGCAGAAACGCATTAGGTCAGGAAAGTGAGATTTCCTGTTTTTCCAGATGGGAAGAAAGAAAGGCCAAAAGAACTGCAGAAATTTGATTCAGTTCCAGCTAGATATATATCCCAGGAGCTACATTTGTGCTGCCCTCACAGAAGGGGATGTGTGGGTGGGCTCACCTTGTATCCCCGACAAACGAGTCTCCTCAGATTCCTCAGCATTATTGCCCCTGGCAATGAAAAACAGCAGAGCTTATTCGGAACAGAAAGCTGTTATGCATTTATTAAAGTACTTGCATCTTAACTTTCTGAAAATTCAAGGTAGCTCTCTAAGAACATCCATTAAGAGCACATAACCACCTTGCTGAAGTGGACCAAAGACCTATTTTTCTTTCCAACAGAAGGCAGGCAATGGCAAACCAATGTGGTGCCCTGACCACTGTTCATGCTGGCTGGGGCTGATGGGAATTGTAGTATTTAAAAAGTCTGAATGTCAGCCTGCAATATTCTTTGTTGTTCTACCTGGTGTTAGTTTAGTAACTATTCCACATCCTTTTAGGGCAGGGATGAGGAGTCTGTGGTCCTCCAGATCATGTTGGACTCCAGCTGCCATTAGTCCTAGCCAGCAGGGCCAAGGGTTAGAGATGATGGGAATGGCAGTCCAACAACAACTGGAGGGCCACAGGTTCCACATTCCTGTTTTAGAGAATACAATTTTTTGTCTTCCAGGCAGGAAAAAACAAATAGCAAGGTGAATGCATCCTAACCACGAATTCTTGAGGTCATTGAAAAACATAAAACTGAATAAATAAGGCATTCTCAGTAAAAATATGGAAATCTTCTTCGTATGCAATAATTTATTTCATAAAATTTATATACCGCTTGATTGTAAAAAAAGAAAACCGCAAATCTTCTTAGGGGATAATTCCCATTGAACTTAATTGGACTTGTGTAGGACTGAATTGCTTGAGATGCTATTTCATTTATTATTTTAAAAGCTAGCAGACATCACCACATCTCATGCACTGTGTTCCATTAGTTAGTTATACGTCCCACAAGCTTCTTGGTGTAGAAGGAGTTTTTAGTTAGTTAGTTAGTAGCCCACAAAGTGAGCAGAAAGTAAACCAATGCATTTTTTGAGATACCCAAGTCATACTTGCAAGCTGACCCAATGAAATTAATCAACAGGCAAGTCCATTGGTTTAAATGGGTCTACTCTATGTGCAACTAACACAGGATATCAGAATTTGCTTCTCAGATAAGCCAAATTGTAATGGATAGCCTTGAATCAGAATACCAACCTTCCAATGAGCAGCAGAGTCTGAAAAAGCTTTCATTGACTCTTTGGTATAGTTTTCTCTTCAGGACTCTTCCTGTGTTGGAAAACAACAACAAAAATAATTAGTTGGACACAAGGTCAGATTTCCCAAAAGTTATCTTTGACCATATGCAGCACACATACTCCCCACCCAAAACAGGAAAACAGGTTTGTCACTTTGAACAGGAATGGTATGAAGCTTAATTCCTCACAGTTTGACTTTGTAAAGTGGGTTCATGCTTATGGACATTTTATCCTACAAATCAATTGGGTTTTGAAAAGATACAGGTCTCAACTTTAATAATCCCAGCATTTAGTAGGGCGGCAGCACGTAATGCTTTCTGATTAAACTCAGAGGTTAGCCAAGTAATGGAGAACCTGTAGGTCTCCATGTTTGTTTGCTTGTTTATTAAATTTCATCCAAGGATCATCCAAGGTTTACAATCTAGAAACAGGTAACCTCCCATCCATCTGGTCTAGGGAACCCACCCACTCTCCCCATCACAACAACCCCACGGAGGTAGGTTGGTCCACGAGAGAGCAACTAGCCCAAGGTCACCCACAGGGAGTCTCAAGGGCTTCTTTGTTTGGATGTGCATGAAGAAAGAAAAGGAAATTATGAGCTAAGCAGGAGAAGAAGGAAAAAGCTTCTCAGTCCTGCTCCCTTGCCTCAGAGGACATCAGTGGGAACTGTTGCCTGGCAACTGTTAACTGTCAGAAAGGGAAGACTTGCCCCCATCACAGGCCAATAGAGGACATAGTGGGAGCATAGACGCTCAAGATGTTACAGAGCTTTCCATACTTTTCATGTTGGTGACACACTTTTTGGACATGCATCATTCGTGACACCATAATTAAGTTTTACTAGCAAACCGTAGGTTAAACTAACACATTTGCAGCCCCCGGAGGAGGGCGGGAGCATTTGCATGACACACCTACACACTGCAGCCAACACACTAACATGTCGCAACACAGTTTGGAAAGGTCTGTGTTAACTGTGGTTGAGAGTCAGAGGTAAAACAAGTGTTCTGAGCCCTTGGTTGGCAGTTCTATCACAGACAGAAGGGTGTTCCTCATTGTAAAGCCTACGCATGAATACATGGTTCTTCTGAATGTCCTCCTTTCCAGAAAAAGGTGTAGTTCTTCTCTTAAAAAGGTAAAGGTAAAGGTACCCCTGCCCGTACGGGCCAGTCTTGCCAGACTCTGGGGTTGTGCGCCCATCTCACTCAAGAGGCCGGGGCCAGCGCTGTCCGGAGACACTTCCGGGTCACGTGGCCAGCGTGACATCGCTGCTCTGGTGAGCCAGAGCCGCACACGGAAATGCCGTTTACCTTCCCACTAGAAGACGGTCCCCTATTTATTCTACCTTGCACCCCGGGTGCTTCGAATGTAGGTTGGCAGGCGCTGGGACCGAGCCAACGGGAGCGCACCCGCCGCGGGATTTGAACGCCGACCATGCGATCAGCAAGCCCTAGGCGCTGAGGCTTAACCACACAGCGCCACCCGCGTCCCATTCTTCCGTCTTGGAGGCAGCCAATTGAAGCTAGTCTGGTCTTCTATAGAGTGACAACGCCATTGTTGAGTGTTTTCAGCTCACAGTCAATGGTTGGCCATCTTCTGTGAGTCATTGACCTGCAAACAGGTTGGTGAATAAGCCAGGACATATGGTCCTGACATCCCACCTTGCTAGGTGCAAGAGGATTTGTTTATGTTTCTTTTTTGCTGGTGCAGAAGTTCAGTCCGCTTAGTTGAAATGATACTCTGAGCTCCAAGCACCCATTGAGGCAGGCAGACAGTGGCAAGTCAGCACTTTATTGACCGGTGGTTGCCCAGCTTAAGGCGGGCTGTTGCTGACCAATGGGTCACAATGATCTCTCGCACTGTCAAAGGCAATCTGTAGTGTCTGTATTTTACACCAATCAAGCTGAGCTTATAAATTGTAAGTGACTTCTCCAGGGTGCAAGCCTGAGTAGTGTGTATGGAGATCCTGGGTTGCTCAGACGACAAGACCCCTCACTCGGCTTCGCTGATGTGGTCTTTTGGCACCAGCTTGGCTGCAGGAGTTAGGGGCATGCAAAACACTCAGGAATGGGGCATGCAAAACACCATTACCATCCAACCACAAACACCATCCAACCACCTTAGGGACTCCACTAGTTCCAGCCCAACTCCCTTCTTCGGAGAACCCCTAATGGGCTCTGTATTAGGCAGACGCCAGAGAGCAGCAATAAAAAGGAAGCAGAGGGGTAAATGCTACCTGAATGATGGTGGCAAAGTAAGACCACCAATCCATATCTATACCCAATATTAGACATTGGGTTGAATCAAACTAAATTATACTCGGAAAAGGCCCATCAAAAATTAATGGACCTATGATAGCCATGCCCATTAATTTCAGCAGGTTTACTCAGATACAATACACTAAACCATTTTTTCTTAAATTAAAAAATTGTCCAGTAGCACCTTAGAGACCAACTGCATGCACACTTCTTCAGATACACCACAAGTGTGCATGCACACGAAAGCTTATACCCAGAGCAAACTTAGTTGGTTTCTAAGGTGCTACTGGACAATTTTTTTTTTATTTTCCTCCCCACTGCATCAGACCAACATAGCTACCTACCTAAACCAATTTTGGTTGTTATATTATTGTATGTTGCAAATGAATGAGAGTCAGGGTGATGGAGTAGTTGAAGTGCTGGACTAGGACCTAGGCGACCAGTTAAAATCCCCTTCTCCCCAGCTCAGTCTTGAAGCTCCCTGAGTGACCTTGGGCCAGTCATTGCCTCCCAGCCTTACCTACCTCACAGGGTTGTTATGGGGATGAAGTGTGAAGAGGAACTATAAACACTACCTTGAGCTCTTTTGAGGAAAAGGTGGGATATAAATGCAATAATTAAACAATAGCAAAATAACACTCCGTTTTGGGACCCCCCCCGGGCTATGAAGCGGGATACCAGCCTTGTAAATAAACATGAAGAGAAGCGACTCCGGATTAGAGAAATTGGAAAAAAATTAAGGAAACCGGGGGTGAGGAGAGAAGCCGATCTCCCCAGAAGAGTACGCAGCTGGCAACTTTATCACCACAGACGAGAGAACCTCAGAAATGAACCCACCTCACCTCAACACGTTATAGACTTTTTCCCTCCACGGGCGCCGCCATGTTTATATATCTCTCGCCGCACATATACGCCTGCGCAAAGGCTCGAGACTCAGCTCCCTAACGTACGAGTGCCCTGAAGGGACACACTTCCTCCAGAAAGCAGGCCGACTAAACCCGCGCGCGTATTGGCAGTCCGGCGTGCCGTTGTGATTGGCAAGCCCGGGGCGGGGAAAGAGTGAGGGAGTCGCGCGTCGCATAGGCCGGCTGGGTTGATTGATCGGCCAGACGCGCGGCATGGGCCGGTTTGCTTCCACTGATTGGCTAAGCTTGAGAGAGGAGGAGGAGGAGGCGGTGCTGGAAGGGAGGGAAAGGAGGGCAAGGCTCTCGCGCTCCCTCCGAGATAGGAAACAGGCGAAGGTCGAACGCGGAGCAGAAAGGCGGGGGGGGGGGGAGAGAAGGGGGCGGGGCAAACCACACACACACAGGTAGAGAGGGAGAGAGGGGAGTGGGCGTGGTTAAGGCTCCCTCGCTCGCGCCTGCCTGTGAGAGAGAGAGAGCGCGCGCGAGAGAGAGAGCGCGAGGCGGCCGCGGCGCGCGAGCTTGACGCCTCGCGCACGCGCCGAGGCAAAAGCGCTGCTGCTGCTGCTGCTAAGGCTGCCGCCGCCGCCGCGCCGCCGCCGCCACCAGCAGCACCAGCACCACAGCCGCTGCTACCGCCGCTGCCGCCATTTTGGATCCGCGGCCGCCCTCAGCGCAGCGCGAGGAGGATCAGCCTGGAATAAGACGACGACGAGGAGGCGGCGGAGGAGGCAGAGGCGGAGGCCTGCGCCCGCTGAAGCAACCGAGAGGGGCGAGTCTCCTGGGGTGGGAGGGGGAGGGACGTTGGTTTTCCCTCAGCAGCAACCGAAGCAGCAGCAGCAGCAGCAGTGGCGGGTCTCGCCCTGGCCTTGCCCGCCCGCGAAGGCGGGTTGGCCCCGGCCTGGGAGGATGAGGCGGGCGCGGAGGAGCCGGAGCCGGGCCTCGCTGTGACGCGGTGAGCGAGGGGAGGAGGAGGAGAAGATGCGGGGAAGGAAAAGGGGCGGCGGCGGCGCTTGGGGGGCTCTCGGTCCCTGACAGTCGGGCCCCTTCGCCTGGGCGCGGAGGGGGCTGAGCTGCGGAAGGGGCTCCTCTTGACAGGCCCTTTCCGTTGGCGGGGATCCTGGAAGCCTCGCCGGCTGTTTGCTCTCCCTCAGGGGGAGATCCTGACAGCCAGGCCTTGGAGGGAGGGAAGGGGGAGATCCTCGCAGCTGCTTTTTAATTATTATTTTTTTGAGGGGGGGGCGTGTTAGCGAGACAGTAAAGGGAATATCTTTGGCATGGCTGCTCACTGCTTTCGGGGGACTTGGGTTTCAGGTGCAAGGCTGGGTGTGTATGTAGACGCACGCAGCGCACAAAATCCTTGAGAGGCTGGTTGTTGCTTTCGGTGGGCGGGGAGAGGGGGGATCCTTGCAGCTATATTTGGGGGAGCATGTTGGAGAGAGTAAAAGGAAGATTGCTGTGAGTTGGGTTACTGCTGTGAGGCGGTGGGTGGCTCAAGGTGCAAGACTCGATATGTACACACACACACAGACGTGCAACGTTTCCCCTTTTGAAGAGACGTCCTTGATCTTGTTATGCGAGCGGGTGGGTGGTGTAGGTGGCTGGCATACTCTTGGAGCATGACTTCGGGTGTGTGTGTGTGAAGGAGGTGTGTGTGTGTGTTGCATTTTTTATTTTATTTTTTGCAGCTTCGTTATTGGGTGGGTGTGTATTTGTAAACGTTGCACCCTCGTTCTGTGAGGTTTGCCGTTCAATCCTTGTGGCTTCATTTGTGGAGTTTTTGCAGCCTCCGTTTTGTGGTGGTGGTTATGTATTCTTGTAGAAAAACGACCACAAAAACTGGGAACCACAATGCTGAGCAGGGTGGGGAAGCGGAAGGGGCTCCAGGTGTTTGAAGGGAAAAATATTTCACATATATTTTTCTTCAAACATCCTTTCCTCCCCCCCCCCAATGTATTCTAGTAACTTCACCTTTTTCAGAGGAACGTTATGTATGGAGTTTTGTAGCTTCATTTTGGGGGCAGGAATAATACTTATGGGGAAATCTTGAAGCTTCACTTGCAGAATTGTGGCAGACTTGCTTCTTGGTGGGAGCTCATGGATGGCATTATTCAGCTTCATTTCCCTCCTCTGTGGCTGGGAATGAGGCAGATTGACTCCTGTTTAAAGTGAATGTTTGGTGTGCTGATACACTCCTGGTCCTCTATATTGGGATGTGGAATTAATTTCTCCCTTTTTTTTAAGGGAGGTGCTTGATCTTTTCCTGTGTGTGTAGATTTCTGGCAAGAACCTGAGTGGGTTGGCAGCTGAAGGGGAATCCTGCTGGATGAGCAAGATGGGAATCCTGGTGGCTGCACCCTGGTAGTATGTGGGTGGGCTTCCTGGCAGCTTGGCCCCTGCTCCCATAGCTTGAATCATTGACGGGAGGGTTGATGGATAAGGCTAGTCTCCAGGAATGTTAGTTTGGTGTGCATTGAGACAGATCCATTTGTGTGTGTGAGTGAGAAAGTGATTGATTCTTTGGTACCGAGGACCCCCTCAGAGATGCCAAATTTCTTGCACAGAATGTATTCCCTTTGTAGGAAATCATCACAGTGTGTGATGATTTTTCTCATACACAAACACATGTGTTTTGCTTCATGTACCAGTGTTGTTAAACTCACAGCCAATCGCTGCTTCTCAGCATGACTACACATGGCAATAGATCATCACACATGACAAACTACATGAGGCTCGCCATCTAATTTGTCTTTTCTGAATTGGCCTCTGGCTTCTATGAGGCGGAAAGAGGTTCTTGACAGTTAGGTCACCTCCTTAGAATGGAAGGTGAGAGGTTGAGGATACTGGACACGTAATTTTGTAGAAACCCAATGTCATTGCGGACAGCTCTCAGTATCTGGGAGGGTCGTTGTCCCTTGCCTTGAGAAACTGCAAACTTTTCTAAAGGGTTAATGCTTGGATAGCTCTTTATTTAACCCTAACCCTTCGCTTCAAATGACGAAAACCAAGCCTTAAGTACTTGTGCATAGTCTTTCCATCTCCCTTACCTCCCCCACCTCAAATATACTTCTGCCAGAATTTACACTGTCAGTTTCTCTGTACAGAGGCCTGTTCTCTCCCCTGTGCCACCACTTTTTGTTTTAGTGTTGTATAAAAATTATTATCTCTGTAGAGAAGGCCTGGCTTAAGAGGTACAGTACCTCTTAAATTATTCCTCGTTTGTTTGGCAACTGCTGCAGTACCTCTTTTAGCATTTTGCATATGAACCCCCCTTTCTTTGATGTCTAATACATTTATCCTTTTATCCATTTACTTACAAGTTGTGTTGTGCTTGGGACTATAACTGCTTAACAGTCAGGTTTTATGTCATTTTCAACTTGATCTTTCAGACTTTCAGTTACAACTTTTCTGTTTGTAACTCCTCCAGGCAGAGAACATGTCCCTGCTGCACTTTCTACAATGCCTGATGTATTGTAACTATTCAGTACCTGCTATGTAAGAGCAGCTGCTACAGCTCAGCCTTCCACTAGAAAGCTTAAACGGCACTACCAACGGTCTTCTGTCCAGACCACATTTCCTTGGAGTCATAATTGTTGTAGGATTAGGTGCTTCCACCCCAGTTTCTGGACCCATTGTTAGTTATGTTCCTTTCAGCAGAACTATACCTTCTGACCCTCTTAGGACTGCTTTTTGTGTTGCTTTCAGAAGTTATGGCATGATGTATGAATGTGTAATTTTGAAAAGCTAAGTGCATGCATCTGTTTCTGAGAGTTGAGTGTCATTCATACTCCATGTGCATGTGAAACTGAAACGGTGTTTAACTACTGTACCTTCCTCTAAGGAGCTCAGGGACGGGTGTGTTTATCCCATGTTATTCTTCAATTGACTGGCAGGGTAGGTAGACTAGTTCCAGTTTAGTACTCTTGTCTTCCAATTGGACTTTCTTACCCCTTACTTCTATATCTCACCTGTAATTATAGAGGGATGCACTGGGTAGATGGCTACTCTTACCAACCCTGTTGTTGGTTTTCTGGAAAATTCTGAATTGGGAAATTTTCATATGCAAACCAGGGTAATCTTCATAGGATAATTTGCATTGGGGAAAAATTTATCATGCCCTAGAGAGTAATCTAATTTGGCATGTTTGTTTTACTTGTATTTAGTCAACAAAGCTAAACACGTTGAAACTGCCAAGCTTGCCTAATATTGTGTTTGCAATTGGCACCTATTCATTGTATCTAATGAACATATGACATGGGAAAACTTCCATGGAAAAAGAAAGCACTTGGAACGTTCTGTGTGTGCAAACTTTCCCCACCTCACATCACTGCTCTCAACCCTTATTAGCAAGATTGATCTATACAGCTCAGAACTGGCTCCTTTCCCATTCTCTGTGATGGATAGGGGCCCACTAACATTAGCATGGCTTACTAACCAGTCATTATTTGTGATATGAAGAAGGTGCAAAACAGTGGAAGTCTTTCCTGCTGCTTGGAAGAGATTCCTGCAGTCTTACTCAAAAACATCAGTAGAAATGAGATATTTGGTGTAGAGATCTGTGTGGTGCTGTGTCTCCTGCTTGCAAGAGGGCTGGGTGCACTTGCCTCTTGTGAGGTGGTAGGTAGATCTGTAGATGCCTGCTGGTGGGCACTAAAAATATTTCATATTCCTACATCAATGTTTGGTGGCCGGAAAGATACTGCCTCTGTTCCACTTGGTACCTGCATGGCAGCATCAGTCACTTCTGGCTCATGCTGGCCCAAGGAATCCTAAAGGACCAGCTGGAATTGTCAAGGAGAATTGCTGATAGTGATATTTGCAGTCTTGATGGGGATATTCTATCCATAGAGTTTCATGCGGGGGGGAGGGGGCAGGCCTTGCCACAGACAGAAAGTTCCTCAATACTAATTTAGAGTGAACTGTTTGAAAAGTTAAAGAAATCATTTTTATCTTTGTGCTGTATTTCAGTAAAGGCATTTGGAGCAGGATTGTAAAAAAAAAAAAAAGCCTTAGGTGTGGGCCAAATGTGGAGCTGAGGGCATAGGAGAAAGTTTGAGATGGGGAAATAGTTTTGAATGGCAGATGGGTTCCCATGGCATTCATTTTATTGCCTGCTCTAGATGGGTATTATACTCCCTTTGAAGGAGCAGGTTTGTAGCTGGGGGTTCTCCTGGATCAATTGCTGTCACCTGAGGCACAGGTGGTCTTAGTGATATGAAGTGAATGCCATCAGCTTAAACTAGTGGCTCAACTACGACCCTATCAGGATAGGGATAACTTGGCTGCAGTAATCTATGTTCTGGGAACCTTAAGACTGGGCTGTTGCAATGAACTTTATGTAGGGCTGCCTTCGAAAATGATTTGGAAGCTTCAGTTAGTACAGAATGTGGCTGCCTGATTGTTGACAGGTTCAAGGCAAACAGATCATATATCACCAATTCTGTTATAACTACACTGGCTGCCTGTAATCTTCTGGGCCCAATTCAGAGTGCTGGTTTGATCTATAAAGCTATTTACAGCTCGGGACCCCAATATTTTTTGGAACATCTCTCTTGGTATGAACATAACCAGACCCTTACATATTTTACTCAGGTCCTTTGTATGAGGAAGGATCAGAGAGTGGTGACAAGGGAGAGGACGTTTTCAGTTGTGACTCCCTGTTTGTGCAATATTCTGCCCAGTGAAGTCCACCTGATTCTATTGTTGGCTTCTTGGCTCTTGATAGACTAAGATGATACTGTTTTGTTATTAGTGTGCTGCCAACAGTTCTTGTGGTTGTTTTATAGTATAGTGTATTTATATTCATGTTTTAAGTGCATTGCAAGTCACTAGGAGGCCTTCAGTTAATAAGCAACTAACAAGTCTAATGGTTCTGTGCTTGAACTGAGAGGGAGTGCCAGATGTGTATGAGATCCTATGCTTGACCAAGGCTGCAATTTTGAGTACCGGCAGCTCCCCCACCCCCCACTTACATATGTTCAATATGTGCGTGATTGCATCACGCCGAACCCAAAAGTGACTCGGAAACTTCATAAAGACCTCACTGAAACGTCACTAAAAGGGTGGAATGGGGGTGGAGCGATGTGCTTGCAGGCTTTTTCAATGGCTTTCATTTATACGTGATTTCACTGACATGCACGGTGCCGCGTAAACGGGGGGCTGCCTGTATTCTGATAGCCTTTTAATGCAATCCTAGGCATATTTATTTTAAAGTCCCATTGAGATGATTGGGGCTTCTGTCAAGTAAGCGTGCATAGGAATGCAGCCATAGCCCTGCTGAAATAACTATTAACCTTAAAAACATACCTGCAAAAGATACTGGTCTAGTTTGAAAAAGATAACTGCCCCCCCACACCTGTATTTTTTGTTTTTGTTTTGTTGATATTGGTGCTAGGGGGATCCTTAACTCTTTCAGCCTATTAAAGTAGAACTACTGGGACGCGGGTGGCGCTGTGGGTAAAACCACAGTGCCTAGGACTTGCCGATCGTATGGTCGGCGGTTCGAATCCCCGTGGTGGGGTGAGCTCCCGTCTTTCGGTCCCAGCTCCTGCCCACCTAGCAGTTCAAAAGCACCCTTAAAGTGCAAGTAGATAAATAGGTACCGCTTTATAGCGGGAAGGTAAACGGCGTTCTGTGTGCTGCGCTGGTGCAGGCTCGCCAGAGCAGTGATGTCACGCTGGCCACGTGACCCGGAAGTGTCTGCGGACGGCGCCGGCTCCCGGCCTCTAGAGTGAGATGAGCGCACAACCCTAGAGTCTGTCAAGACTGGCCCTTACGGGCAGGGGTACCTTTACCTTTTACTGTATCTGCTCACCTGGAGGGAATCCTTATTTGCTGTAGTTGCCCAGATAAATTTCTGTTTGTAAAAGCCTGAATTAGTGGTATGCATTTTTGGGTAAAGGATTGAAATTGGCAATGCTCACAAGGTCTTTCCCATGTCTTTGTGAAAATAATTATAGAGAGAGGTGCCTCCAATGAGCACGTGTAATGGGGACTGAGAATCACTGGAAGGAACCCAGATGCTTGGTCACTTAGGATTTAACATTTGTTGCTAGAGGTTTGAAGTGTTCATCCAGCTCTATATGGGGCTGGCACCTTGAAAGCGTATCTCAAAAGTAGCAGTAGCATAATAACATTATTAAGGCCAACTAGAAAACCACAGAATGATGAACAAGCTCTTGAATTCCCCACAGCTCTTAATCCAGTTGTGGTGGGGAACTCAAAAGCTTACTTGCTGCTTCATAATACTTTTAGTTGGCCCTGAGAAATGCACTGCCCTCTTGCTATTTTTGGATCTGTTTTCTTTCTCTCTACCTCTCCCCCCCCAACATTAGAACTACATGTCTACCTGCAGTTTTCATGTGCTGTTAGTTCAAATAACTATATTTCCAGTTCAGCAATTGATCCAGAGAGCTGAGGACACAGCACTGGCCAGATAGAGAATGGAGGAAAGAGTGGCTTGATCGGGGCATATGTGTATATACCAACTTTCCTCCGAGGAGCTCAAGATGGCATGCATAGTTCTCTGCTCTATTTTCTCCTCACAGCAACCCTGTGAGGTAGGTTACGCTGAGAGTGAGTGACTGGTCCAAGGTCACCCTGTGAGCTTCATGGCTGGGTAGGGATTCAAAACTTGGTCTTGCAATAATAGCTGTTAACAGTATTATGCAGCCAAGTTTGTAACTAAGGGGGAAAGAAGTTTGGCAAGCCAGATTGATAGCTGCCGAAATAAAGGCATAGAAGCATGTTGTTGTGGTATAGAGCTGGCATAGTACAGTGACCAAGAAACTGAAATATAAATTGGCATGTCCTCACCTCTCACCTCTGACATGAGCTCACTAGGTGTCATTAGGCAAACCACTGTCTCTCAACCTCTTACAGTACTCCCAGATTGACACTATGAAAGTAATAATATTGACTTAACTTGCTGTAATCCTTGCAGCTCTGTAAGGTAACGCATGTGAAGCTCTTTGAACACTCAGAATTATAGCACTGTAGAGTTGGGAGGAACCCTGAGGGCCATCTAGTCCAGACAGATGGCCATCCAACCTCTGCTTAAAAACCTCTAAGGAACCTCCTCTACCTCCCAAGTGAGTTTGTTTCACTGTCGAACAGCTCTTACTTGTCAGAAAGTACTTCCTGGTGTTTACCTGGAATCTCCTTTCTTGTAACTTGAATCCATTGGTTCAGGTCCTAGCCTCCGGAGCAGGAGTACCAGTATTAAATGCTATTTTAAAGGACACAAAACTTCTGAGGGAACATTTACGAGACCGCCTCTCCTGGTATGCCCCATAGAGGACCTTAAGGTCCATGAATAACCATAGTTTAGAGGTCCTGGGCCCTAAGGAAGTCAGACTATCCTCCACCAGGGCTAGGGCCTTTTCAGTGATGGCTCCGACCTGGTGGAATGTTCTGTCCCATGAGACTAGGGCCCTTCAGGATTTAACCTCCTTCCGTTGGGCCTGTAAGACAGAACTATTCCGCCTGGCCTTTAATTTAAATTCAGCCTGATCTTTTATTTCCCTGCTCTTCCCTCCCCCTACTCTTTTAAGAAGGTTACCCACTCTGAGACTCCACAGCTAATTCTCCCTTGGCCTCCTCGCTGGCCCAAGTAGGACTAATTCAGCCAGCTAGCCCTGGTGATTATCTAATGCTTATTAGATGGATCTCCCCTAAATTGATTTCTGAACTTTGAATTTTATTGTTATTCATGTTTTTATACTGTATTTTATGCTGCTTTTATGATCAAGTGTTTTAAATTTATTGTTTGCTGCCCTGAGCCCGGTTTTTGAACCTGGAAGGGCGGGGTATAAATAAAAAATTATTATTATTATTATCTATTACCAAATGTGCCTTGTATGTATCAAAACTAGAAGTCAAATAAGAATACATTCCAGGTGTTCCAAGTCATGCACCCCACTCCACCTCAGATGCTAATCATAAATATTAAGCAATGTGTTCAGAAGGAAGCAGTGGGCAGGAGTTTGGAGCTGGAGAGGGGATTATTGGAGAAGAAGCAGTGACTGTGTCTTGTGACTTGGTTTTTGGTGTGTAGCTCTAAGGCAGGCATAGGCAAACTCGGCCCTCCAGATGTTTTGGGACTACAACTCCCATCATCCCTAGCTAACAGGACCAGTGGTCAGGGATGATGGGAACTGTAGTCTCAAAACATCTGGAGGGCCGAGTTTGCCTATGCCTGCTCTAAGACTTGAGGTACTGTGGCCATCCCTGTTGTGTTGGAAATCACAGGGTTTCTGCCTCAGCTCACCTGGTGAAAAGTGATACTATAGGAGGAGACCACTAGAGGGCATCTCAGGGACTTGTGCATCAGAACTCAGTCTGGATGAATGAAGGAGGAGTGCCCTAGGCATTTAACAACAAACACTTAAATACCACTATAGAAACACTTAGATAACAGTATTGCAATTACAGCTGTAACAGGTATTATGCAGCGGTCTTTGTAAGTTTGGCAAACCAGATTGACAGCTGCCTAAATAAAATAAGCTTTAGGTGGAAGAGAGGAAAGTCATAATTAGTGATAATTTTTGTCAGACGTAAAAATACATGAGATACAAATAGTTAACTGGGAAATGAGGCATTTATAAGCCGTGTGGAAGCTCTTAACATTGGATGTCTTTATTTATCACATTTCTGCCTATATCTTCAAACATATCTCTGCAGCCACGAGGACAAGAAACTTGTTCTTCGTTTTTAAGCACCATTTAACATTATATGCTTGTCCTCCTATGCAATGGATCGGAGCCTGCTGTCAGTTCACCAGTTCAGGGAGCTCTTCTGAAAAAGTATTTCCCCTTTTATGTGGAAGTGGCTGCTCTGTATGTACATATTAAAATATTTATTTCCTGCTTTTCTGCCCCATAACGGGACCTCCCAAGGTGATTTTCAAAAGAATGAATGTTTCAAACATAACAACAAGAACTTACGAAACAAACTACGCATGCCACTTGGAAATGTATGGAAGAAAGATGCCATATAAATTCGGTTTCTAATACTTATTGCTGCACAGATCTCACCCCTCTTCCCATATTAACAGAACAACCTGCATTTGTTGGACCCCATGATAACATCATGGCATGTGTGTGGCTCCAGATTGAGCTCATGGGTTGTTTGTAAATAGCCACTTACCTGGTCACCTGTGATGAATAAGAACTACCTCCAGGCGACCATCCTGGGAAGCTTTACACTAGTGAATTTGGGGGCGGGGCGCGACAATTGTATAGATGGGCTGTTAACTTTGTGCGCTTCTTTGCAAGGTCCTGTGTGTTCCCTTCTTTCATTTCTGTTTGAAAGCAAACAGCACAGAATCTGTATTCCTGTGGCTCTTGAATAGTCTATATTCTGACTGTCATCCCTTCCCTTTCTCCCACAGTGAGAAGATGATGGCTGCAAGTTTCTGGAAGGATCTGTCCATGGACCACACAACTGATCTGCTTTAAAGTAATAGTAATTATTTGCAACTGCACGTACTGTAATGGACCCTCAGAATACTGCTATGTTAGGGCTGGGCTCTGGTTCTGAAGGGTTTTCTGGGAAAAGCCCCTCTGCAGTTGCCACAGGCGCGGCAGGAGGCAGGAGGGAGGCGGAGCTCGATGGTAGTGCTAAGGAGGAGGAAGAGAAGAAGAAGAGGAGCTCGGAGGGGAGCGGCGGTGATGAAGTTGGCAAGGATGAGAGTCTGTCGGATGCCCAGCAACAGTTTTCTGTGAAGGAAACAAACTTTTCAGAGGGGAATTTGAAGCTGAAAATTGGCCTGCAAGCCAAGAGAACTAAGAAACCCCCTAAGAACCTGGAAAACTATGTCTGCCGGCCTGCAATAAAGACCACTATTAAGCAGCCCAGGAGGGTGCAAAAGGTTGGGAAGATGATGGAGGAGAAGAGCGACCCTGGCCCTGCGAAGCAAGTGAGTCATGTTTGCAATTCTCAGATCTGGGAAAGGAGTGGGTGGGGGAAAAGAGAACAAAAATGGTTACAGGTGCTGGGTGCCGGTAGCTCCGCAGGCACCAATTATGCAAACAGAATTTGAAATCAAGGGCAGAATTTAACATCTGGGAAAAACCTTCCAATTTCCCCCCTTATTTTTCTTTTTTAAGAGATGCGGAAGAAGAAAGAGAGCTCTGGAGCCTTCAATCTTGGGTCACCTTTAAATCTCAGCCTGTTGCGTGGGACCCATTTCTTTTTTAGGATGATGATGATTAGTGCAACGCCACACACCTTGCAACCAAGCACACAATGTAGCCTGTTCTACCTGCTACGGTAGAATGCTTATTTGAAGCCTAGTTTGCAGGGGCAGGGGGAAAGACCCCTGCTAACTCCTTGTATTTACTGTGGCTATGTTTGTTTGGTAGTGACAGGAGTAGCAGCTGAAGCCAGCATTCCATTTTTCAAAATGAGCGCAAAAGTTTGGGGAAACTAGGGCAGCCTGGCGAAATCTTCCATGTCTTCCCCAGCTTTTTAGCACTTTAGAAGTAATTTTGGTTAAATTGCTTTCTGTCAGTCGTCGTCCTAGCTGATGTTTTTCCATGTTAGTTGAGCCATTTGTTGCCAGCAGCTCCTTCTTCAGATTCTACTACTGGACGTAGCAGAGTAGAGCCACAACCTACTCATTGTAGGAAGTCATTGAGACATCTGTTTGGCTGTTGTGAGCCTTTGGATTGATTTTACATTTTTAGAAGAGGGCAAAATTCTTGGTTTCTCAGTTCTTATGTTGTGGAGTAATTCTTTTATTTCCCCAGGGGTTGATTTGAGTGTTGGCCTTATAAGGGTAGCGCCAGATTAGGAATTGTGGGGAAAGTACAACTCTTGCACTTGTCCCTTGCTGGCTTTGTCTGTTCTTTCCCTCTCATTTGTTGAGATTTATGTAGTAAATTTTCTATTCTTGTATTCTGTGAGGCATCACGAGTGCTAATGATTGGGGCTGCAGAGTTCAGCCCATTTAATCCATCCTCCCCCAATTTATGTAGTCCTCATCATTCCTGACATGCTGATTAGAGCCACTGGGAACTGAAAACATCTGGAAGGCACTGCATTGAGAAAGGCTGACTTAGATTGCCTCAAAAGGTGTCCCTAATTAATCAAGGAGGAATTCTACTAAAAAGGGTGCAGATGTTAAGGGTCATCTTAGGAAGTGATAGTCCTCTGTTTCTTGTGCATAGGAGGGAATACCTCTTTTATGATGAAACATGTGTCCATCACCTGAAAATAAAATGGATATTTTTCTTTACATCTATTGCGCATGGCTATGGAAACATAGCTGATCAATCAAAATTCATAGGATTGATCAAATGAGATCTTTAATTGGGCAACTGTTCTAAGAATAATGATTATAATTACCATATGGGGGATTTAGCATAATGATAAAAGACAATCAATATAAGAACAAACAAAATGCAAATTGAAAGAGAAGACTGAGATCTAAAAGGCTTGAGAAAGGAAAAGTTTTTATACTGATGTCTAATGGATTGGTTTGTGATCGCAACTTCTAGGCAGGTTGCCGTGAATATAAGTGATCATTTAGGAACCTGGAACCTAAATTGTTAATTACACACAGCTGCAAAGATTGGTGGAACTGCTTTTGCTTCAACTAGGTTGGAATTCTCTTCCAGATGTATAATCCCTGCACACACTTTTATAGGTAAAGGTACCCCTGCCCGTACTGGCCAGTCTTGACAGACTCTAAGGTTGTGCGCCCATCTCACTTAAGAGGCCAAGAGCCAGCACTGTCCGGAGACACTTCCGGGTCACGTGGCCAGCGTGACAAAGCTGCATCTGGCGAGCCAGCGCAGCACACGGAAACGCCGTTTACCTTCCCACCAGTAAGCGGTCCCTATTTATCTACTTGCACCCGGGGGTGCTTTCGAACTGCTAGGTTGGCAGGCGCTGGGACCGAGCAACGGGAGCGCACCCCGCCGCGGGGATTCGAACCGCCGACCTTTCGATCGGCAAGCCCTAGGCGCTGAGGCTTTTACCCACAGCGCCACCCGCGTCCCACACACTTTTATACTGATCCTTTAAATCAGAGTTGGGGAAACCTCTGGCGCTCCAGAAGTTGTTGGACTCCATCAGCCCTGGATTGGGGAAGGCTGATCTAGATGTTGTAGGACTATATTTTCCATCAGTCCCTAGCCAGCTTGGCCCAATGGTCAGGGATAATAGGGGTCTTAGTTCAGTGACATCTGAAGTGCTCTCAGTTGAGGAAGGCGGCATTTTAACTCTTTTCAGGTAGATACCTATTCCCAGCATAAATTGGGAAGTGTGAGGTCAGACCTGCCCTGCCATGAAGATGGGTGAAACAGCTGCCCCAAGGCTGTGCATTTTGGGTGTCATGAAAAGACAGCAACTATCAAGTTGTTAGTGTTATTTATCCCTGGGGGCATAGCTGTCCTGCTTTTTGCCTCAGGCCCTGAGGTGGAATTTCCTAATGAGACTGGAAGTTGAACCCAGGGTTTGTGTGGTACAAAAGAGTATTTTAAAGGGAATGACATGGGCCCCTTTCAGTTTGTTTAAGATACACGTTCCAGTTCTGGTGAAGCAAGAGGTATGATTATGTCTGAACACTGGAGGGGCCAGAAAAGCTGATGGAAGGAAGTATGTGACCTGCTGTTTCATTGTTGTTGTCCTTAATTGCTCTTGTAATAGTTACTCAAATACTGCATGAAGTTTTGCTCCTGGAATTGTTTTTTTAATGGATAACTTTGTCCAGGTGTGTTTGTGCATGAACAATGATTGAAAGATAAAAGTGCCAAACTGCAGCATTTCAATACATTGCTTTGGGGTTTTTTTCCTGGCTGTGTGTTTAATATTGGAGCTGGCAGAAAATGGCGACAACATGGCGACAATAATTTTTTTTAAAGTAAGAGTTGATCAGAGTTGATTCAGAGTTTGTGAGGGCTCGTTTACATCATGCAGGAAGCCAAGGCTGTTTCAGAGGTTTGGTATCTCCTGAATTGGTGTTGTCAGTCATCATCCGCTCTTGTTAACCACTTATGTGCACAGAGCATCTTGTTGGCAGGCATTTTATAGCTACCTTCTGTGCAGTGGAGATACCATTTATCCTAAGTTGTCAGGAATCCGTCATTATTTGGGACTCTTTTCTTCACTAGTCTGCCTGGGTTAATCCAGTAGTTAATTTCTAAACTGGTCCTTATTATGGTTCAAGCTTGGCTCTCAGCCACACCCTCTGATCTAGAAACCATGCCCCTCAGTGGGGACAGAAATATACTCTGTATATGCTTAGAAGTGCCCTCTTAGTGAGCCACATGTTACAGGCTGGGCCCGGCTTCAAAAAACTAGGACAGAAGCTGTAAGGCAAGGGCAATAATCTCCAGAGCACTGGCAGTGTGGTTCTTTCAACCATGAGGGCTAGAAGCTTGCCTTTTTTAATAATAAAAATGAAAACATTACTCTCAGAATGTCGCCCATATTTGATGTTTGCACAGTGGGACTAGCTCATGTGCCCAGCCCTGTTTGTGCTTTTATTACAGCCCCCATGCAGGCTGCTTTTTAAATCTGTGTACCAATGCATCTGCCCAAGGCCTTTCAAATAAAAAATAAAAAAATCCCTCCTTTGTCTTTGTTTGTAACATGCTCAGCCACTTGGTAGGTATTGGTTGGGGTTGGATTTTTTTTTTTTTTTTTTTGCGCTTTCCTGGGAAATCAGAATCCAGAAGCTGCAGCAGCAGAGCCGTTTGTTGCTCGAGGCGCAGATGGGCAAACACAGCCACTGGAATATTCTACCTATTTATAGCCAAGCAGCGTTGATACTATTCCGGTCTTGGAGATGATGTGGAGTCACGAAGGTGACAGCAACAAGCTCCACATTGACAGCTGTAGTGTTGATGCAGTTAAGACAATGGAACAAGATGGAACCTTTGCTTCTGTTCTCGCAAAGCTCTCCGTTTCCCCGAGAAACTGCTGAGCACAGGTATCCTTCCGATCCTTGCAGTGTCCTTGGCTATGCAGGTGAATGCTGCAGAAGGCTCTCCACTGCTGCTGCTGCTGTTTCTAGAAAATCACAAGGCAAATGGTGGTGCCCAAACATGAAAAAGGGACTTCTGTCCTTCAGCTTTTATAGCTGCTGAGGGAAGAAGAGGGGGAGGAAGGCGTGAGTGGGAATTGTGTTTTATTCACAGCTAAAGCTCTGCCATGACACCTAAACAAAGATGGTTTGAGAGTTCTGTGTGTGTGTGTGTGTGTGTGTGTGTTTGCATACATGCATTCAAAGAGTCGGAGGGCGGGAAGATGCCAGGACGTAATAAACTTGGACTTGTGCGCAGAGCTAATCCTAAAAGTGTGTTCTGTAGGATGCTGTGGATTTAAAGGTAGGCAGGGTGAGGCAACCATCTTGGGCAGCAGATGCTGGGTGCCATTAAGAGCAGCCGAGAGTGAGATATACAGGCCTGAGCCCAAGGGGCACGTTCTCCTGGGTGACTCTCCTAAGCAATCCCCCTTCATTTTAATATGGCTTGTGCGGCAGAATTTCCCTGTGGTTGGTGTCTTATGATGGCATGAGTCTGGGCCCCAATTCAGATTTTCTGCCACCAGTACCAGAAAGCCTTTGGCTAACAGCCCTGTGCAGATTTCATTCCAATCCTGCTATTGACAGTTTAATAAAAATAATAATAGTAATAATAATAGTAATAATAATTTAGTAGTAGTAGTAGCAGCAGCAGCAGTATTCATCATTTAAATTACATCAGGACAGGGAAACAGCACTGATTAAATGGAATCATAGACTCCAGTATGTTAGAAGCTCAGAGGGGGCCACAGCTCATTTGCATGCTATTTCCATAGGGTTCCGTAGAGCTTTTCCTGGCATATAAGGGAAGGGATTGCCTCCTTTCTCAGATAATGCAGCTGAATATTGGATCATAATATTTCACACTTTAGAGTGTTGAATGTAAA